GCAACGCTCGAATGATCTCTTACAAGGCGTCAATCGTCTTTAGCTTATCTGCGTAGACAAGCGACTCCACATAACGCCACATAAAAAAGTCTAGCGGTGTTAAATCGTACGATCTTATAGACTATGTCATAATGCGCTCGCCAAAAGTTTCCTTCAATAAATTGACTGTTATGTTTGCTGTATAGCATGTGGCGCCGTCTTGTTGGAACGAACCTAAGGTCGTCCACATCAACATCCACCAATTCAGGCAAGAAAAAGTCATTAATCATGGCTCTATTGCGTTCCGTAATGACTGTAGCATTTGACATTTACCGAACCACGCCGCGCACTTGTTGGTCGTTCGGTCTGTTCATTACATTGTATAAATCTACAAGTAGCCAATCCTAAGATTTTCACTAATACACACGCAAAAATATCCCACTTGGTACGGGTTGCCTCGAAAATTCTACTACTAAAATCACACTTGGTACGGGTTGCCAACCAATATTCGGCTACTAAAATCACACTTTGTACGGGTTGCCAACCAATATTCTACTACTAAAACGTTCCAATGACAGAAATCTGATATAGTGTGTTGCCGTGTTATGTTTTAAAATTAATAACTTTAAGAATGTTTTTATTCCATATTCAAAGATTTTTCGGTTGTTTTAATTCTTAAAGATTAAATTTACAAAGTATTATTTAAATTATTATTTATTGTATTGAAATATTATTAAATGTTTCCGATTTTATTTTTTTTACTTACATGTTTATGTTTTTGTGAGTGAAAATTCTTTGTCTGTTGAATATTTAAATTCTTAGTTTACCGGTTTAGTCCTGGGGAAACGAACACCCAAAAAAGATCGGTAACGCGCCTATATTGCAACCTCAGAGGTGGTGAGGAAAAGCAATGGGAAAACTTTCGTTTAGCATCCCACGATTTCAGGGTTAAGAGGGGTATGGTTAGATAGACGAGATTCTCCAGATCACGAATATATTAAATTATTGCAGCCGGAAACTTATAGTTTTCGAGATATTTCCATTTTAAGTGCAAATTGTTAAACTGCAACCTTTTATTTAAAACTCTGTGTCAAAAAAAGGCATATTCGATCAGGTGATCACGGCTGTTTCACACACATAGGAAAACAGCTGATTCTTTGCCTACTTGTAGGCTTATACAATGGTTCATTATGAAATGGCAAACCAAATTGAGTATAAATCAAGTAACACATAGCAAACAGACAAACTCCTAAAAAAATTTTAAAAGTAGTACCGTTAGTGCTCATTTGTTATGCTTCAAACAGTTACCGACGAAAAACCGTAGACTGAATTAGCTCATACGACCTATCTTATGAGAGCGCAATGTAAATGAACACTCACCACCGCTATTACAGACCGTATGGTAAGATATCCGCGAAAATTGGATTTTTCCCGTAAAAGCGATTGAGCTGAGAGTGTGAGAGCAATCTCTTGCAACGCAAGATTGCCAGTCTCGATATTTTGTAATGATCAAAAAATAAACTTGAATACATTGGAAAAATTCTTAAACCAGGTAAATTATTTTTAATAGTTGGATTTTAGTTTTGAGCTTTTACATTATGAAAAATTATAACTAAAAAACTAAATGTGTGCAAAGTTTTGTATACAAATTGAGCAATGGCAACATTGGTGAAATGGAAACAAAAGAGAACAACTGACCATTACTTTTGACAAATTCCGTTTGATACGGGCGGTAAGTACGGAAGGCGGAATGTCGGTGACTGTTTAAAGCATAAGTCAATGTCAATGCCAAATGTTTGCCAAATCATGGTTCCATTTCCTTCGGAATATATGCAATAGCTTTTCAAGACATACTGGACTAAATGCCTAGATTTTGACGAAAACCGATTGGCATCACGCTCAAATCAAGGGTTGCAAATAATGCATTAAAAAAATAATTGAATTAACATTCAAATAAAATGTTTTTTTTGGTAATACCAGATACAGGATTAAAAAAAAATTTCCATCCCAAAAACCGAAGTAAAATTTTTTATTTTTTTTTATATATTTTTAATCCCAATTACTGGTTTGAAAAATAAAAGATAAAAATAAAGTGTTGTATGAATTTAATGTTTTAACTATTACAAAGCATGGTGGCTAGGATAGAACTAAGAGACATGTCTAATTATTAGAGTTAGTGTTTTCTTAAGAATTGCTTTGGTTTTGACTTTTCTATCGAAATTTATTCGACAATTTATTGCTAATTTCCATTTTTCGCTGGGGTCACCTGTACATGCATATATGTATATATGTATGTATGTATATATGTATGTATGTATATATGTATGTATGTATAT